TCAAGCAGAATCCAGTGACATTCTCATTTTTTCAAATTTAGCCCCTATATTGTCCAAAAGACACCCTATATAATATTAACTCATTGGATAGCTCCGCTTTAGCTGAGTTCAATGATAAAAAGTTGGATAGGTTTACATCTAACAGTTTCAGCCAAAGCAGAGCTTTCCAATGAGTTATTATCATGTATCCTATTAAAGAAAATCGGACTTTGTTCAATGTCCCTAAATCGGGGCCAAATAAAAAATATTTGGGGGGACGTCACTAAATTCTGCTTTAAAAAGTGCTGCTACAAAGTTTTCCTGGAAATCGAATATTTTCATATACAAAAAATGAAGCTTTCACAGTATCGTTCAAAGTCGAGAATCGGTGGCAGATATCAAAATGCGGTTTGCGCCAACGAAGACTCCATGAACATATAAGCATCAGAGTTAGAGGTTATTTCTTTTGTATCTCGCTTCCAAAAAAAAAAAAAATACGCAGTTGTGACGAGAATCAAAATATCTTTAAAACAAGGTACCTACCACTCGACCTATATCTTCCCTATCTAAAAAACAGGGGTGGAAGTCACCCCACCCAAGGGGTGCACCCTAGCGAAATACCGATGGTGTCAGAAAGTTTCCCCCTTGAATACAAAAATGACGTGTCCGAGCGTTTTTTTTAAATCGACCGTAAAATATCCTAAGACGCCTCTGTTTCGATGTTCGTGAAACACCCTGTATATAAAGTGTACGAAAAGTAACGGGACGGCCAATTATCTCGGAGACCAGTGGTGCAATTTGAACAGAATCTCATATTTAGACTTTGTAGTACCTACTTGAAAAGCCGAATTCAAAAATTGTATCGACGTTGTTGCCAGACCATTTTGTCTGTAGGCACACAATCTTTCTTAAGTAAAATGTAATACTTCACTTATTTTTATCTCAATCGATTGGTCTTGTTTGATCAAGGGCCAGTATTATAAAGTCTGGTTGACCGAAGGTTGAACTTTAACCAGCGGTTGAACTGAAATGTCCTTATAAAATCATACCGAAATGTCAGTTCGACCGCTGGTTGAAACTCAACTTACGGTCAACCAGGCTTTATAATACCGGCCCTTAGTGAAAACGGAATGATAGGTGAATGAAATTAATAGTGGGACAAGAGCAATCGATGGAGGTTAAAATAAGTGGAGTCTTCCATTTAAAATAAAAAAGATTGTGTACCTTCAGAAAAATTGGTAAGATTGGCAACAGCGTCGATGCGATTTTTGAATTCGGCTTGTCAAAAATAACGTTCAGGCCCTTCAGGTACCATATTTTGTTCAAATTGCACCAGTGGTTTCAGAGATTGATCGAGGGTTCCATTAAAAAAAGTTGGAATTGTCTACGTTTTTCCATTTTCCGATGGAATTTTGTTTCTTCATCTGATAACGTTAAAAAATATATATGAAAAAAAACTGTCAAGTTTTGTGTTTAAAATTTTTTTCCATCTTAAATAGTAAAGGCTGTAGGTAAGGGCTTGAATATAATCAAATACCCTGTACATAAAGGTTCGTGGTTTGCTAAAAAGCAGAGAAACCACTTTTTCTCTCTCCCAAAAAATGATTGGTGTATTAAGTCGGGACTAGTGAGTTTGGTGCGCGCAAGGGTATATACGTGACAACCATGTTTTCAAACCATACCAAAGATTCGTTAACTCTATAGGATTGCCGAATCGGCTAAGGGCGGGTATTATAAAACTACTTTGAGAGTTAACTTAAAGTTAACTTCTGGAATTACGTGTAATTCAAAAAGTTAACTCCAAGTTAACTGTCAAAGCAGTTTTATAATACCCGTCCTAAATCTGTCCGCCAGTGCAATGCGAAGACTCTCGCTGGATGTGATGTCAGCTGCAATCCTTTATTGAAACGATTACATGTAAAAGATGGGAAACTTGCAGTGTTTTTAAAGATTATGCTTGTGAATATCAGATAACACTGGACACTACGATTTTTAAGGTCAAAATCAAGGTTATTTGAGAGATGTAGGTTGCCTGATAACTTTATGACGTCCCTAAGGCCTGAGGTGCCTTAACATAATGCAAATCTCCATAATTAAGCCCAGCGGAAAATCGCGTTGCGGACGCGGAATTTTTAAAGTTTGTCCCGCAGCGGGGAAATGTCAACTTTTTACAATATCGCAAAAAAGTTAAACTATTTTCAACTTTTGTGCGATTTTTTATCCTCTGTCACTTTTTACTGTCACCTGTGAGATGTATGATAGGACATTTGATAAAAATCACTAAAATTTAATTACTGTAGGTATTCCTTTTATACATCGAGTAACACCGAACGAGCTCCTCGGAGTCACTCCAAAACACACAATTCAGATTTTATCATTATTTTTTAATATTAACATTACCGTCCTTACCTAAAAGGGCTTCTTGCACCCCCCGCGAAGTTGGCGCATCAGGGGAAAAAAGGATGCACTATGAGTGAATCGAGTGCTTAACGCACTTTTAAAAGGAACGTTCAAGCTTTTGACATTGAGAAGCTCTGAGTAACTCAACGGGTAAAAGGAATACAGTAAATGTGAAATACCCTAAATATAACTAAAAATCTGCTTCCGGAATCTCGCTTCATGTGAACCGGCAAAAATTACTTCTTGAACGAAAAGCGATATTCCGCATCCGCAATGCGATTTTCCGCTCCATAAGAACTAGGCTTCGAGGCAAGGTTTCTAGAGTTCATAGGTTGCCTGGTAATGGGTAACCTGATGACGCGTCTGGGGTGCCTATGGAGATTTGCATTATGTTGAGGCCTCCCAGATGACGTCATAAAGTTATCAGGCAACCTACCTCTCTCAAACAACCTTGACTTTGAGGCACCCCAGATGCATCATCAATTTATCCATTACGAGACATTCTTTTAACTCTGGAACCTTGTGTCAAGATGCACTGTCAATAGAAACAATCCGATCGAGGACTGCGAGTGACGTCAAATGCGTTCGATATTGTGGCAAACGTATGTCTTAAAGGGATTGAGCAATCCAGAGCCGCTTAAAGCCTAGTACTCATAACTGCGAAATTCCCATTTTTTTGACATTGTGTTGATAATTTGACGTTTTATGCGTGTATCAAACGTCAATTTATCGAAGAAATGTCAAAAAAATGCGAATTTCGCAGTTATGAGTACTAGGCTTTACAGTGACGAATTTTAAGGTGCTCCACACCCGTAGCTTCACCAGTTTCACGCTCGGTCCAAACAATAACTACTGTTGTTTCACTGGAACGCACCGTACTTTAAGCATCATGTTTTTGATGCACCTATAAAATTGCAGGTGCTTGAGAGGGCAGAGGAGAAGAAAAACGAATAGTTTAGTTGCGCGAAACTCTGAAGCACTGGTCACTGGAACGCCTATAAACAGCACAGGGCGCTCTAGAGCAGCTCAGTAGTGCTAATTAAAGTGCGTCACTGGAAAAAACTCTGTTAATTTACGATCTTTTTGCTCAGGTAATAAATGTCAAACAATAATAACGATTTTCGGCTACTGCTCCCAGAGTGCTCCCCGTCTGGATGGTGACGTCGCAGAGATCTCTGCGGGAGTGCTCCGGGAGCAATTTTAATCTAAACGAGGCCCCATTTGAAATCAATAATTATAATAATGTAGTATACATAATGTCCGCGGAATCATAACCTGTAGTGCCTAGGTCCATCCGAGAAAGGACATGCTGCCTAGGTCACAACTGTGATTTGGTGTGTCGTGGGGAGGGGCGGGGATTTGTTCCACACAGGCCTCATGAGGATAGGCTATCTCTTAGTACTCAGTAGTGTGTATCATCCTTGATGAATAACTACCTTTTGGAATGGGGTTAGATCACCCGGAGTTATCGCCGAATGAATTAATTTATCGACGCTCACGCTTGACGAATCTTACCATGACTGTTTTTGAATGCCTTTGGGTCAACCCGGGTGAAAAAAAAAACTCCTACTCTGGGTCATACATTTTTGAACACGCTCCAGCTATCGAACGCAGCCCAGTCCCCATACTGACACTGAAATTTCATTGACAGTCGAGTCTCTATTAGCTTGTTTTGTTTTGGTTCGAAATGTCGGTTCTGGGATTCCGCACAAAAAATAGCTGTGTTTTGGTTCGAAATTTGGAACGGTTCTGGGATTGCGCAGAACTGCTTGCGCACAAAAAATAATGGAGAACTGTTTTAATACTAATTTTAAATCGATTCGGAACTAAAAAAACCAAAACAAAAGCCGAAAATCACGAAATTCCAAAACAGTTCCTCCTTCAAAGCAACTGAGAGAACCGTTCTAGAAGTCTAGAACAATCCCACAACTGTTCTTATATACTTCTAAGGGCGGGTATTATAAAACTACCTTGAGAGTTAACTTAAAGTTAACTTCTGGAATTACATGTAATTCAAAAAGTTAACTTCAAGTTAACTGTCAAAGCAGTTTTATAATACCCGCCCTAAATAAACCAAAACGCTGTCAACACAGTTCGATTACGATTCCGAAAAAACGAAAACCCGTTTTAGAACATGCGCATGTGCAGAATGATCCTGAACTAGTTCTGAGTGAAACCAAAACAAAGCAAAACCAAAACGCTGTTAACACAGTTCGATTAATGGCGATTTCCATTTGTCAATCACTGCGCACTGAGTGTATCCCCATCTTTTTCTAAAAGCATGTAACACGTAAAGATATAGATACATTTTTTTTGCACTGGTTCGACAAATGGAAATCGCTATATGATTCTAAAAAAACGAAAATGCGTTTTATAACGTGCGCATGTGCACAATTTTCCGAACTAGTTTCGAGTGAAATAAACAAAGCTATGACCTAACCTCACTAACCTACTCAATTATTCGGCATTCGTTCCGTTGTTGGGCGTTCTGTGTCTTCTTTGTTCTTCCTGTTTTCTCTGAATTCGAAAAGTATTGCTAGTGATTTGAGATTCTATTTGATATACACGTTTACCCAGATTGAATTCAGAAAGTTATTACATTTCAACCAATCTTATTTTACCTCACACATTCTACAAGATCCAGGGTAAGCATAGCAAAGATTCAACATGGAGTATTCATGGCTTTTTAGGCGATTTTCTAAACATAGTCCATGTGCATTTTTTTTGCTGTCACGGAGCTGGCTGCACAGGTAGATTTAAGTAAAATCAACCACTGATAGGCTATAAATTAGGGTTTCATTTTTCGTACACACATTGCTACTGAGAAAAGATTTTGTTTCTCTGGTGAGGTGGGCATATTAAATTTGATAGTGCTCTATCAGAAGATGGGATTCGTCATGCTTTTGATAATCCTCAGTATGTGTGAATCTATTTGCGCACAATCCACACACATTCCCGAGGCTATAGGATGATAGGAGGTTGCAGTTGTTGTTCCTCTTTGAATACAACTCGGATCTTCACAATTCAAAATCGAGCCTTGACCTTGATGACCCAGCAAAAGCTATAAAAACATCTAATAATAAATACATATTTTGCGGCGAGATCATTTCTTGGAATTTTGTTAGAACAACAGAAGCAGATAATTTAGAGATAGATTTATTTTTTTTATTTTATTTATTTCAGATAACATTAATATAAAGGGCTTTCATTTCAAAAGTTGCCACCCACGTTGTCTGTGTAAATAGACAGATTTGTGAAATTTAATGAGGTGGAATGTTTTTAATGTGAAACTGGACTTCTTCCCTTCAACCCCCAGGGCTACCACCCCAAAATTTTTAAATGAGACAGGGGATCAAGTTATAGATCATTTTGAAGTGCTGTTGAATCTGTAGGTACATTTTGCCAACCATTTTTTTAAATTTGACCTCACTGTTGCAGAATAACATCCCTTTCAATGTTTACAAATGCATATTTATTTCTAAACACACCTGCCTAATTACCTAAATTCAAGATTAAATTATCATTATTATAAGTGTATTGTGTAATTAAAATAAGTGTTTGCTGGGAGGGTACCATTGCATTCATCATGAGTTTTATTCATTTATTCTCATTTATCCATTTGTTCAAAATCATTGTATTCTTTGAAAATGTAGATTCTGACTGATCGCTCTAACTTTTTGTGTTGTCTGATTTCTCTTACTTGCAATGGTAGCTTTTTGAACAATGCACTGCAATGGATTATCTGATTGTATATTCGTTGAGCAAGCAAACTGCCATTATTTATAATAAGAATACAATTTCTGAGTGGAAAAACCCCAGTAGAGAATTCCATATCACATGTGGCTTTGAAAAGAGACTAATATATAGGGAGGTCCAAAAAAAACCGGAATTTGGTTTTGAGCTGTAACTTTTTTTTTGTCGACCAATTTCCTTTTGTTTTGGCTTATTTGAAAGATAAATGAACAGGCTAACGAATCAAAGTGAAACTTTTGACATTTGAAAAAAATTCAAAATGGCGGACTTCTTCAAAAATGGCCTAGTTTTGGATAGCGCTGGAACTTTTTTGTGACCCCCTGTATAACTTTTTCCAATAAATTCCTAAAGTTCATCATTTTGCGAACATTTTAAGACCTCGACGGAAAAAATCGGTTGAAAATTGAGTGAAATATTGAAATTTTTGTAATATCGAATTTCAACTTTTCATATTGGCAGCAAAATCTACGATATGCTATTTTAGCTAGAATTTTTTTTTCTACTTGACATATCCTTCCTATTTCGGACTTGTTCGAAAGATAAATAGATAGGGTAACGATTTGAAATAATGATTTTGACTTTTGAGAAAAAATTTAAGATAATATCCCAGTTCCTTTACCATAGCCAATTTTGAGAAAGTTAACGATGAGTTTTCTAACAATACAACCAATATTCTATTTATAAATTTAAAAAAATTAAGATAACATATTTAAGGGGGGATATGCCCTCCGTGTGCCTCAACAACCCATGTTGAACGTCTACGCCAAGAATCGATTGAGTTGGCAATGTTCCCTTGTTCCAGCTCTCCCCAACACTCAATTATTCGGTTGCGCAGCTCTTCTAAAGTATTAAACGTAGCCCCATTTCTGTGGACTCTTTCTTCTAAGTCCCCCCATAAAAAGTAATCACAGGGATTTAAATCTGGGCTATTAGGCGGCCAGTCACCAGGCTCTATAAAATCCGCAACTTGCTCTCTCAGATAATTGATAGTGAATTGGCTAGTATGACACCTGGCTCCATTCTACAAACAGTATTTATCACGTTTATCACATAAAAAGAGAGAAAAACGTACACTTTTATCAAAGTCTTTGTGAGAACCAGATTTTTAACAATAAATGTTGACTAGGTATAAGTTATAAAATTACCTGCATAACAGTGTAGTTTGGTGTGAGCCGTTCAATTTCAGGTAGCATATGGCTCAACACAAGCTGACAATATTTACGAGAATCCAAGCGTACTCTTTGATCGATGAAAATAAGTTCTGCTTTGTGGTTTCGGGAAATTGCTGCAGATACCATTAAATACCTGCTGAATTTTTCTCTTTCTTTAAGCAAACGTTGCAGTGATGTATCTGCTTTTCGTGCTTGGAGGGGAATTCTTAGTTGGTCGTTTTGCGAATTTTTTACTCCGGATAAGGTGAAAATTTTCTCATCAGTGAACCAAATTTTTTGGATTTCAGCACGGGCTCTAAATCTATTAAGTAGTCGCATACATCTAGTTTCCCGCCTCTGCTTCGTTGCTTCGGATAATTTAAATGTGTAGCCCCGTTTCACATGCTTCAGCACTAGATTTCTTCTAATTTTTCTTTTTATAGAACTGCGAGAAATCTGGCATTCATGTGTTATTTGCCTAACTGTCAAGCTAGTACCAGGTCTCCTCTCAGGGCTAACTGCTAAGTTTCGAATTAGGGCTATATTTTCCTGAAAAATTACAAATTATTGTTATTGATATACGACAAAAAAAAAACACAAAAAACTCGTACATACCTCTGTTCTCACAGTGTTCGGTCTACCGCTACCTTATCTTCTCTGAATTGATCCTGTTTCTCTTAACTTTTTTACAAAATCGTCAACAGTACTTTTTCTCAAAGTGTTGTCAAAATGATGTAAAATCTGATGCACTCTGTACCCGCGGTTTACTAAATTTTTGATCACGATTTTTTCTTCTTCAGATAAAGCCATTACACTCACTCAAGTTACTTAAGAATTTTAGTTTTAAAACCTGTATTTGACTTAAAAATTAACAGAAATAGACTTTGGACGTGAAGCAAAATGGTGTCACTAAGTGATAGATTTTACATGACCTCCTTTGATGAAAAATGAACAGCGTTTTCTTTCGTACCAAATTTTCCGTTAATGCATTTTGTAAGACGGAGCTACACATTTGAACTATACGAAGCAATGAAACAGAGGCGGGAAACTAGATGCACGCGACTACCTCATAGATTTAGAGCTCCTGCTGAAGTCCGAAAAATTTGGTTCACTGATGAAAAATTTTTCACCTTATCCGGAGTAAAAAATTCGCAAAACGACCAACTACGAGTTCCCCTCCAAGATCGAAAAGCAGATATACCACCGCAACGTCTCCTTGAAGAAGGAGAAAAATTCAGCAGTTATTCAATGCAATCTGCAGCAATTTCTCGAAACCACAAAGTTGAACTAATTATTATCGACCTAGGAGTTTGCTTGGATTCATGTAAGTATTGTCAGCTTGTGTTAAGCCATATGCTACCCGAAATTGAATGGCTCACACCAGACGGATGCAGGTAATTCTATAACTTACCTAGTCAACATTTATTGTTAAGATTCTGGCTCTCACAAAAACTTTAACAAAATTGTACATTTTTGTAATTCCCTATTTATGAGAATCGGTGTCATACTAGCCGCTTTACTATCAACTATCTAAGCGAGCAAGTTGCGGATTTTATAGAGCCTGGTGACTGGCCGCCTAATAGCCCAGATTTGAATCCCTGTGATTACTTTTTATGGGGGGACTTAGAAGAAAGAGTCCACAGAAATAGGGCTACGTTCAATAGTTTAGACGAGCTGCACAACCGAATTATTGAGTGTTGGGGAGAACTGGAACAACGTAACATTGCCACCTCTATCGATTCTTGGCGAAGAGATGTTTAGCATGGGTTGTGGAGGCCTAAGGAGGACAAATAGAAAGGATATGTCAAGTAGAAGAAAAAATTCTAGCTAAAATAGCATATTGTAGATTTTGCTGCCAATATGAAAAATTGAAATTCGATATTACAAAAATTTCAATATTTCACTTAATTTTCAACCGATTTTTTCCGTCGAGGTCTTAAAATGTTTGCAAAATGATGAACTTTAGGAATTTATTGGAAAAAGTTATACAGGGTATCACAAAAAAGTTCCAGCGCTATCCAAAACTAGGCAATTTTTGAAGAAGTCCGCCATTTTGAATTTTTTTCAAATGTCAAAAGTTTCACTTTGATTCGTTAGCCTGTTCATTTATCTTTCAAACAAGCCAAAACAAAAGGAAATTGGTCGACAAAAAAAGAAGTTACAGCTCAAAAACAAAATTCCGGTTTTTTTTGGACCTCCCTATATTTGAATTTCCACAGTTGAACCAAGACTTTTCATATTTGTATTTGCTCACAAAAGTCATTGGGGTGTTTTTCTTTTTGTAGGATTGCTGAAATGACTGCACTTAGTTTTTTTGATGTTTAGTGACAGTTTATTTAAATAAAAGCAGCTTTCCAACATTTACACATTTTTGTTAATGCTTATCAGATCAGTGTTGTTGAAATAATAAATTAAATAATACATGCTTAATACACGTGACTTTTATAACTAATAATAGTGACTGTTCATTGATTGTTGCCTCTATCTAGCTTTAGTTCTTATTTTCAGGAGAAGCAGGGAGAGAAGGTCAAAGATGGAGGCCAAACCAATATTGAATTGTGAAGAAGGAAATGATTCAACTGGAGTTAATAGTGACGGTAAGTTTTTAATTGATGAAAATCATTGGTATATTCCGATTTCCTTTTGTAGACAAATTGGTGGATATTAATTATCCAGGCGAGTATGATGCTAAAAAGCCAAAGTCAGTTGATAACTTCAACTTCTTTTGTAGATCTTACCGAGTGTCGAAAAATTATAAAGAGACTAACACTACTAGATTTAGACGAGATGTCTAGTCAAAAAGTGTCCGAACTCCTGATAATTGAAGATTCAAGAGACAAACTACATCAGGTCATTCAAAAACAGGAAAAAGATCTGGAAGCTTTAGAAAAAGCTCTAGACGAACAGAGGAAACAGTTCACCAAGTTACAAATTGTCCATACCAAACTCTTGAAGGACATTGAAATTGAAAAACTTACTGGTGTACAAAAGCCTTCGGTGCCATTATCAATATCACGTAGTGTAGGGATTCAACCGAGGATTCAACTGAATGTGAGCACAAAAAAAGAGGCCAATGAGAGCAGTAGTCCGCAGGTAAGAATTTGTAGTTTCAATTTGCATCTTATTGATTCAATCTTACTTTAGGTGTTGAGCTGCTCTCGTCAAAAACAAGCTTTAAAAAAGCAAAAACGAATGGCCAAAAGATTAACTTGTGATCTTAATAAAGACCCGGCAGAAGCTGTCAAGAAACCTGGTGCTCCCGGTAAAGCAGATGCAATTATTTAAATTCAAAAGAATTATCAATTATTGTTATTATACCTAAGTAGGTATGTATTAATTAGAATTAGAGTATTATTAGGTCTGTTTCTGCAGAAATCACAAACCAGTCAGAGCGAATTTCATTGGTTGAAACTTGTTTTTTGACCGTTTTCAATCAATGAAATTCACTCTGACTGGTTTTAGATTTCTGCAGAAACAGATCTATTATTGTTTATTCCCTTTTCATATTTTTCGTTGAATGTATCATACATTTATGTACCTAGGTTTATGAGTTCTTATTATTTAATCAATATAATCTGTGTTTAATATATTTTGGATACAAAATAATAGGGGCTTTTTATTCTGTTCCCATTTTCTGATTGATAAAATATCCCGGGCAACATCATATCAAATGCATCATAAACATTAGTAGTTGAACCTTAGACAAGGAAAGAGAGAGTTGAACAATGTAGTTGAATGTCAAAGTGAAAAGAACGCAGGCGTCAATTTTAAAAGGTGGATTATATTAGTTCTTTTCACGTGGCTTCGGTTTAACTAACCGGGTTACAAAACGGTTAGAGAAATGACATACCGTTTTCTAACCCGGTTACAAAGTGACGTGATGGATACCTACCACTCGAATTTGAGCGGTATGTTGCGGTTTGTTAAATCGGAGCCACGTGAAAAGGGTTATTGTATTTCGAAACGATTTGAACTAAGATTTGAACCAATTTTGATGTGTCGCCTTTCTTCTTTGTTTCGATATTATCAAAGGTTAAAGAGAAATCACCAAAAAATGTGAGACCATAAACTGTCAAACAAACGTAAAAGGGCTGTGACTTGTGACCGAGGACAACCAACGGAATGACTGCGGTATTTACCGGTCAGGCGCTTGAAAACGTCTTTCGGTCAGCTGTTCTCCACGATTCTCGGAGTGGATGCTGTGCTTGGCTTGAATGTGGAATGAGTGTCGTGGTTGGATGGGACAAAATTTGTTGTTTATTTCTTTTTTTTTTGTTTTGGCATTTTTGGTTTGGTGCTGGTAAGTGTTTCTTATTTCAAATTATTAATTATTTTTATTCCGACATCCATTCTGACCCATTTATTAGCTATGTATTTAATTCCTTCCGCCAGTAGGTACATACTACTAAGCATACCTACTACTACATGAAAGAGAAAGCAACAAAAGGATTTTAACATGTAAAAACAGCCTAACATCTTACTAACATCCAATGCCTGGTTCAATTAAAAAATTGAACCAAACAATATTTTTTTGGTGCTCTGTTTGGTACTAAAATCAATTTTAAGTTAAAATAAAGGATATTATTAACAATGCTTTTTGTTTTACCAATGACTACAGTGGCTATTCTAATTATTCATCCCAGTAGCTTCATTTTGTCATGGGCATTTTTCATTATATTATTTTCTCGTTTATTTATTAGATAGGTACCTTAAAACAATAGGTACAATACGTACATACTGGCACCAAAGCCTTTAAATAAAATCTAAAAGTTGTATACCTACTACTATACTAAGTATTGAGTACTTAGATGTATTATTAAATTACAGGAATGCATTTCTTCAAAAACTATATTCTATATATTATGTAGATGAATCATCTTTTATGTTCATAAAGCTTAGATCTGTGAACAGCGACACAACCCCAATTTTTCTAAATGACTCTTTAAGGTTGATGACATTTTATCATGGTCTGAACATATTGCATATGTTCGTAAAATATACAAGTCAAATCAAAATAAGGACTACTTTTTAGAAAACCTTTATTTTAATCAAATTTTGAAACACCCTGGTAAATGTTCATTTCCAATTATTACAATATAAATTATTGTTTGTGCACTACTTTATTTGTTTATCTATATTGTAAATGGAAATGAACACTTTACCAGGGCTATTCAAAATTTAATAAAAATAAGGGTTTTTTAAAAAGTGGCTCCTGTTGGCATTTATTCTGCATTTTGCGTAGACTTATTTACTCTGCCAGATTGGCCTAGTGATGTGAAGTTCCCGAAAAATTCAAAAGCCGCGAACATTTTCGGAAACTTATAGAAATATTTTTTTTTTAATTTTTTTATAGATAAATTAAACAAATCAGTAGTAAGCTTTAAGTATTTATTATTATAGTGTACTGACTATAGACTATAAACCAATAAAACACCGAGGAAAACACTTACATCTCAGCTAAAAATAAAACTAGTAAAAATACTTTTATGGCCGTGTGAGGACGGGGCTACATCGGCTACATCATCCACATAAATTGAAATGACGTAACCTAGACTTTGCATTTTCAATAATTTTGCATTTTTATAAAATTACCCTAGGAAGTTTTTGGAAATACATATTCTTGAAAGTTCTCGGGAATATTCTTAAGAATTTTCAGTTGAAAGTTTCTGAGAATATTTGCATTCAGAAAAACGTTTCCATTTTTTATCGGCGAGTTTTCTCGGAAATTTCCAAATGTTCGCGAATATTCTCTATTCACATTACTACAGATTGCTATATAAAATATTTATACTTTTCGTTGATTCAATCTCACTTGCAGTATTTATGTATTTTGTGGTCCAATTCTGCAAATTTATACTCACTTTTGTCCCAGAAGCTCAATGCATTCTTATTCAAAAAGAAATAACTGTTATTTACACTCGTATGCACCGTATGGACTTGGAAGTTTAATCTCTCTTAGTTCGAAAATTGGCATGTAAAAAAAGAAGTCCTAATCTGGTTTCAGCAGCTAATCTGCAATGGAACCACAAACAATCGCTATCGATAAGTTCTCGACAATTTCCCCTCATTTCTCACCTCGTCCACCCATCGCTCAACGTTAGGGTCCAAAATTGCCACCACAAACGAACATTTGCGGTGCAAACGAACGTTTGCGGTGGCAATTTTGGCGACTAACGTTGAGCGATGGGTGGACGAGGTGAGAACTTGTCGAGAACTTATCGATAGCGATTGTTCATGGTTCCGCCTCTGGATTAGGTTCTTACGGTGCATTTGGGCAGCAATGACAGCACAGTTCAATTGTGAGCATGGTAGAAATCTATATTTCATAAAGGTGTCACTCAATACAATAAGTCATCAGACAATAATAAAGTAGGCTATTGCCAGTAAAAAGGTTCAAATCTGCAATAAATGATTGCCTGTCTTATTATTATGTATGTGATTATTATTTAGTATTTGTTAGGATGATTTCCTTGATAATTACCCCATACGGGTTTGTTATTGTGTCAAAAAATGTTTGCTTTTTTTTATGTTTGTCAGCGTGATATTCGAAAATTGAAATTGCTGATAATATTGTTCACTGGGGGTAGACCACACTGGTGAAAAAAAATGCTTTTATGGCTTTACTTTGCGTTCTTTGTAATTAATTGAATAGTATTACAAATATTAACTCAATATCAATATCTCATCCTTATCCCATAATATTTAAATATGCACACTACCTACCGATGCCGCCACCAAACATGCCAACAAGTGACAAAAATGGAACGCCAGCGTTCACTTGACGCTGTGAGAAAACGTCATATAGCCGGTTTTAAAATTGATTTTTCTAGAACTGCGCTATAATATTCCTTGTTTCACCTAAGTTATTTTTGGTTCGACCCCAGATACAATAAATTGTACACTGACACCCAACGTTGTGCCTGGAAACACATTGAGTTTGTGTTTTTTTTTTCGATTTTCGGAAGACTATTGGAAAACACGTTTTTTTTGTTTCATACATCAAACAGCTCCCGGTTTTTTGCCAAATTCGGACCATAAGTGACAAGTTTATGTCAAGCGAAGTGTTCGTTTTCAGATCCCGTTTTTCTTCGATTTTGGACTGAAAATAGTAAATACCACGCCTTTATTCGTATACATCGCTTTTCATATCTCGGTTTCTGATTTGTAGACTGCTAAGTGATTGTTTTGTGGGAATTAGAAGAAAAAAAAACATTGCATTGCAGCAAGCTTTTGAGTGACTGTAAGTAATTAGTTTAGTGTTTTCTTGAGACTTTTAAACTGGCTTATGAGTATTTTTTGCGTTCACATATTAAATGCACGAAAATTGATCGACTGTCTGACAGTTATTCTACTGATTCGTTCGTCAACACGGTTGAAGAAACTGGAAGCATGTCCGTTAACAGATGAACAATTTCAACAACTCTTGCAAAGACTAACGGTTACTAATCAATCGACGGCCGCGTTGGAATTTTTTAGTTTGGATACCTTGGTTTCCCCACACGCAAGACCGGTCTTGAAAGTGAATATATTAGGACATGTAGGACAAGGCTTGATAGATACCGCCGTTAAGCAAAGTGTGGCTAGTTCCACGTTGTATGAGCTTTTGGTAAACAAGGGACAGCAATCTAAAAGTGAACAAATCACAGTGATTTTAGCTGATGGTCAAAAACAAACTAAGGATGTTTGCACTACAAAAGTTGATGATTGATAACTTTTCCTGGAACCGAAACGAAAACGCTGTTTGAAATTGATTTTATACAGGATGCTCGAATAATTCTAGATACAGCTAATGGAAAATGGAAATTTACAGATTATGTATTCCATGAATACGATCTTGAATATGAAAGCAAATCTCAAAATGAATTGTGTGAATTTTTAGTCACAGGAATGACAACTACAAATGTTTTGAGGCCTGATGAAGGTATCATGCTAACAGAAAATGAAAAGCTAAAGTTTAACACCTTTCTAAAAGAAAGACATGATACGTTCAAACTGGGGGGAGATGCAATGCTGTTTGAAGTCCATTACATTAACACCAAAGAACACATTCCGATTTCTCTATACAGATTGGCACCACAGACAAAGCAACTTTTGAAACAAGAATTGGACAAGCTGTTAAAAGATAACATTATAGAAGATTGCGTAAGTTCATGGGCTGTAGCAGTTGTACTAGTCCCTAAGAAAACAGGTGGTGTAAGACTGTGTGTTGACTACCAGAAACTTAATGCTATTACAGTAACTGATAGCTATCCACTGCCGCGATTGGATGAGCTATTACACGCTGCAAAACAGAATCTTTATATGACAACCATTGATCTCAGATCCGGTTACCATCAAGTTAGTGTTTATGAGCCAGATCGCCTTAAAACAGCTTTTACAACAACGTTTGGTATTTTTCGTTATACGAGAATGCCATTCGGACTCAAAAATGCGCCTGCAACGTTCCAACGCCTCATAGATCGGTTTAAGAATGGACTTAACCGAAACACCGATGATAGTGAAATCGTAGTGTTTGCATACCTCAATGATCTAATCGTGTTATCGAGTTCGGTTGAAGATCATATGATAGATCTTAAAGCAGTATTTGATGGACTTGACCAATTTAAACTACGTGCAAACCGCGAGAAGTGCGTATTCGCGTGTCCTCAGGGGAAATATTTGGCTCATCTGATCACACCTAAAGGTCATTCAGTAGGTCCAGAAAAAATATCGGCCATAGCAAAAAGACCTCCAACAAGAAATGTACATGAAATGCAATCATTCTTACAAACTGCAAGTTGGTTTCGACGCTTCATTGATAGATTTGCTGAAATGTCATGCCCATTAAGTAACTTCACGAAAAAAAAAAAAAATTTTGCTCATCACGGCACCCGTCCTTAAACAATGTGATTATACCAAGCCTTACATAATGACACAAGGAGTTTGTTTCATACAGATATTCTTCTGAAAGCGACGAAGAAGATGTACAGCTTGTAGTACCTGAACAGGAGAGAGAAAAGGTTCTTCAAGAACATCATGATGATCCAAGCGTCGGACATTATGGTGTAAAACAAACGTTTCATCGAATATCGAAAAGATACTCTTTTCCTAGGATGCGAAGATACATAGCAGATTATTTGAAATCTTGCACAGATTGTCTAAGATACCAGCCAACAAATCAAAAACCTGCAGGATTGTTGCAAACACCCGTTTATGCTCAAAGATTTGAAACATTGGCTATTGACTTATTTGGACCCCTTCTTCCCGGACCTGGGGCAAGAAACATGGATATTTATAGTAGAAGATACTTCAACAAAATGGGTACAGTATTGTTTTCCTTGAAACAAACTACTGCCGAAAGTTGTGCTACTATTCTAGTAAATGAAATCTTCTTTAGATATGGAATATGCAGGAAATTGATTAGCGATAATGAAGTACAGTTTATATCTACCATTATGCAACAAGTTTGCTTCGGCCTAAAAATTAAACAAGCATTAATACAGCTTTACCATGCGTCTGAGCGTCTGCTAATATGGTTGAACGAAAAAACAGAGACCTTAAGTCAAGACTTGCTATTTTAGTTAAAGATGATCATGGGTCTTGGCCTGAAAAATGACCGGTTGTAAGATTTTCAATGAATTCTACTTGGTGTGAAACTACAGGACAATCCGCTGCTTATTTGAATTTAGGCAGAGAGTTCATCCTAAACGAGATGAACCATATGAAATAATGAAAATGGTTAACCAATTTTTGAAAAAATACAAAAGAGACAACTGAATAATGATACCTGTCAAAAAATCAATTAACCACCTTCTTTTATAGTTTGAGCCTTCAACTATAAAAAGCCCAATAACTACAGTCATTTTTTATGAGATAGGTTTGGCTCTAAATGAGATAATGCTCTTTTCCTCACACTTCATCGGGTAGGAAAAAAATTAAAATCTATATTTGTTGAATAAGAAAACATAGGTACCTATCCATTGCAAAAAAAATTACTTATTCAGATCTATTTTGTGATAAAGCAAAAACTATAAGCATATAAACCACGGAGTCGTAATTGGTGCAAAATATGGCAAAAAACTTTGATTATTGCTATTTTTGGCATCACGGTTTCATCACACTTGAAAGAGTTTCAAGGAATTGATTAATGGCAATTATTTGTATTGCCTTAAATTCAGTTATAAATATTATTACTTAATAAAATAATAGGAATAACAGTATCTCAGCAGCTTGTTTTTGCTACTTTATTAGCATTGGTCACATTGCTGCTATGGACACTCTGTTGAGTTAATTATAATTTGCCGCTATTTTACATATTATCTTGGTTAATTTCATTAGACTGTGACAATTGGTAGAAAATCTTGTTAGGGATGAATCAAAATATTTTGAATACAAGGATTTGCGTTGAAATCTATTTCAGCAAAGGTCTGCTTCAAGTTGACTGAACCATTCATACCCGCATTCATAATATGTGTATTTTTGAAACGCTACAATTCACCTTCTGTATTTCCTAATTTTCATTAACTGTTGCAAATTAAAAAAATGTGAATGTTTTTTTTTTTAATCAGTTATATAAGATAATTATTACAATTGCAACCCAATTATAACAGTTTATACATTAAAGAGTAGGTAGCTATTTACAGTTGCACGTCTCAAATTTATAATAGTCCAACGTATACTTCTTGGATACTTTCACTTCTAGAATTTAAAAATAATACGAGAATGTCAAGCTTGCACCAATTAAAGTAGGTTGGTGATGCCTTTGTTGTTATTTCAGTTGAAATAAAATTTAAATGAAATAAGTTGGCCTTTTGTGTAATACCTATGTGTTTCTAATTTAGGCATTGTGCCTGGGAAATAGGTACAGATTTACAGATTTTTTTTTTTTATTACTAACCTGAGAAATCACCATCATTTATTTCATTTATGATTATAATAATAAAATAATAAATTATAATAAAAAAAAACACCCACCTACTTAAGTAAATAATGAAAAGTTTTATGTTTAAATTTGGCAGTTTCATAACCGAACCATCAGGTTTTTAAATTATATTTCGAAATTTTTGCAAAACGAGTGGGAAATGGCCAATATTGAAATTTAATCAAATCAAATATGGTAATAAATTAGTGTAAGTAGTAAAAAAAAATCTAATATATTTCGGTTGAGAAGGCCAATATTGTCATTATAGGTCACTCAGGTATATAATATCTATACTTAGTGAGAGATTTCCTGGGATATATTCAAGAAAGTTTTTTGGTTGCTAGTGATTGTGACAAGTGAGAAAATATTAGGAAGTTGACTAGCTGGGGAGCAGGTTTTGTTGATGTAGAAGGTACCTATGTTGATAGATCAGTCGGTGGAAACAGAAACAGAAAAATGAATGTCCGTTTTGAGACTGGTCTTTGAAAAGATGGCTTTATAAAAAGTTTATAAAATATAGCATCACTAACAAGCAAACTACAATTATCACAAGATTGACAGCGTCACGAATAGGACAAATAAATAAGAATTTACACTAATGTATTATCCCTTTACTTATAACTTATTTCTACAAAAAATCTCTTATTTAAACTAACTGACTGAACTACTAGGCGCTTATATACAAAACCATTTCATCGTTAAGTCTCTCGAATCACGTAAAGCCGTGAAATCCCTGCTACAAATTTTTAATTTTTTGTCTAATTAATTCACATTTTTGTGTCGTATAATAAATCAGCTTTAAAGATGTACTGATTTACTTAAAAGCTGTCTTGTTAAGCAAGCACAAGTGGCTTCTTTAGATGTGTATAAATGTAATATTTTTCTTTATATTTCAGACAAACATAACGATTAATCCACCATGGCACTAGCAAAAGGCAAACTCCCTTACGATGATCAACAATTGCACAACACTGTTTACGAGCATTATTTGTCACACCAAACCACCTTACGTGATGGGTTAAATTCGTTGAGGGAAAAAGGAGAACTACTCGACATCACTCTGATCATAGAAGGACACATTTTCAGAGCACATAAAGCTGTTTTATCAGCGTGCAGTGATTACTTTAGGGCTATGTTCACTGACAATATGCTTGAAGCTACACAAAATGAGATTTGTTTAAATGGACTCAGTGCCAACGGTATGAAACAATTATTTAATTTGCTAGGTTTTAAAAATAAGCTTGAAATAACAAAATATGCCAAGTTCTATTTGGTACTTTTTTCTAGGTTTCGATCCACTTCTTGAATACGCTTATTCAGGCTACCTTACCTTAAACTTGGCCAATGTCCAAGATGTATTGGCTGCGGCTTCGCACATACAAATGATCAAGTGCGTTTATACATGTGCAGAGTACTTGCAGTCCCAAATCGATTTAGATAATTGTTTAGATATAGCCACTATTGCCGAAACGTATTCTTTAGAAACGCTCAAAGTGAAGGTAAAACAACAACTTCCTTTTATTTCAAAGTTTAAGTTTCTTTTGTAGGCATATAGATTTATAAGTGGAAGATTGATGAAATTTTCTACAAGCTCCGGTTTCTACAATTTACGCCCTGTACAGCTAGAGACTCTTCTTGCCTATGATTTTCCTGTGGATTGTGCCGAAGCCGATGTTTTCAGCATAATTTTATCTTGGTTTTTCCATGTGGACAATAAGTAAAGATTTTTCATATTCGCCATTTGTCATTTGGAATACATTTTAATTAACTTCTAGGCTTGATGTTCACACTGATTATGCTCGTCGAATAATGAAATATATTAACTTTGAAGATATATCGGACAGAAGATTTTATAGCATTTTGGAAAGTTTTTTCCAAGATACAAACGACCAGTGGCAGATTATCAGAAACATTATTCAAGAAAGCTTCTTGCAAACCAGGGAGTGTTTGTTTTCTTCGCCGATGATGGACCCTTTGCTTAATTCAAGGTAATTTTCCTATAAACCTTTGTGATGTTGGCAACCAAATACCTTTTTCCAGGGGTATGGAACAGGCCATTTTAAGTATCGGCGGTTTTGGTGGGAGTGGACTTACAAATGAGATAGATTACACTTTCACCAAGAGAAGAAAATGGATGCGGTTAACGACTATACCTCACCTGGAACAGTGTAATTATGGCACGGCTGTGTACGACAATGAATTGTATATTGTTGGGGGTTGTTTCAATCAGTGTCTGGAAGAACATGTTCATCCCTTTGGATTTAAATACAATCCGAGGTAAGCGAATATTATTTTTCTTGAAATATATTTGTTTTTTAAACCTACTACAAACTTTCTTTAAAATTAAAATTGCTTCAATAGTGATATTCATCTGCTAAAAGAGCATTAACTTTCTTGTTGGAACTGTCTAACATACCAGCTTTCTCAGTCTTTTTGGAAGCCAATTAAAATTTGTTTCACCCTCATATACAGAGTGGCCTTGAAAAAGTCTATATCTAATGAGAAATTTGTATGTATTTGTTTTTTAAAAATATGTTGTCGGCATTGGCTTTTGCATGACGCAGAACAGAGAAATCACTTGATATTTTTGACTGTGCGATACATCAATCACATTTCATTTGAGAATTTCATACATGCAAAAGTCACACCATGAAGTGAATTTATGAAGATACAAAGAAAATATATAGGTACCTTGTGACTTGTGATCAGACAGAATTTCATTTATTCCAGATTTGACAAATGGACATCAATAGCACCAATGGAAATGGAAAGGTGCCGGTTTAGTTTGAATGAATTAGGAGGTTTATTGTATGCTGTAGGAGGCAGCATTGACGCTGATCGAATTGGAACCAGTATTTGCGAATGTTATAACCCTGCGTAAGTTTGTTTTATTCAATTATTCAAAGCCTTTTGTGTGACGTTACAATAAATTATTATTTATACCCAAATGCCTAACATTACCAGTTTTTTGCTGCCTGTCAAAAGCTTTTGACTGTGTTAGCCATGATATTTTGCTGTGTAGACTCCAGATATTATTAATAATAGTAAGGTTTATTCACAGCAAAACCTACAATCACTCTTATCTCAATTCTAGATCACTTCAAGCTGCAAATAAACATTTCAAAGGCATCTTAAAGCCTCAATAGCTTATTCACCGATTAACATTTGGTCATAAACCTCCTAAATCTATAGCTATTTTTTCACGTTAGTTATTTGCTTGACAAAGTTATTTTTTTCTAGGAGAGATACCTGGTACAGGATCCAGGACCTTCCGGCTCGTATATCTCAACACGCCGGCGCAAGCATGGAAAATTCTTTGCACAGTAAGCTATTTATTAGTGGCGGAATTGAGAGGGATTGGAGTGAAATTTGTCTTGCGACCGTTTATTGCTACGATACTGGCCTGGAAAGATGGACTACATGTGCACCATTGCCTACACCTAGAGCCGATCATGTCATGTTATCCAGAGGTAACTAACTTTGCTTCTCATTTTTCAAATCTCTATAGAATAGCATAATAATCTATAATAATACTACAAGTAATCGGCATCCGAAAAAAAAAGAATTACTCGGTGCCAAATTGAACATGTTTTCAATCACAAACAGCCTGGAGGGTTAAACTGACTTTTGTATTTGTTCTTAAATTATTTGAAGCTTTTTCTATATGATTTTAGGTAACGAATTATATGCTTGCGGAGGATGGACGTCAGTTGATGACCGAGAGCTGGTTGACACGATTGATGTCTATAATGCAGAACAAGATACATGGAAGGTAAAAAATCCTCAACTTCCTTAATGGATAAAAATTAATTTTGTGATAATTTCAGCCGCTCACTAAAGTTCCTACTCCTCGCTTCCACGCAGGTATAACTCTAGTAAACGATAGAATCTACTTTATAGGTGGTTTTCAAACAGATACATACATGGATGAAGAAAGGAATCTTATTGAATGCTACGACATAGAAAATCAGCAGTGGACTGTTGAGAATGAATATCCTGAACACGTCTCCGAGCATACTTGCATCACCTTGTATATACCAAAGGGCCGGGACGATAAGGAATTGTACGATTTTGTTCAATAGTATTATTTTTGGGACTCAATAATTTATATGAATGTGTGAATTTTTATAAGTATTATAAAACAAAAAATATTTTTGTATTTATCATTGTGACATTACGGAATTGTTATTTTATTGAATATATATATTTTTTTTTATTATAAAACAGAAAATCATAACAACAATTATTAGGTTTTTCTTAAAAGGAACCAGATACTTCTAATTTGCACAGATTGCGACCCTAAATTTCTTTGTTATGATTACTCTCTAAGGCCACTAATGTGTTCCTAAACTAGAAATTCTCCTCGTGAAATTCGTCAAAGGCGTAACATGACTTGGTATGATTTTAATTGACCGGGCAGATGATGCTTTGCGGCTCTCATAAATAAGGAATGGTTTGTAAGGATACTCGATGGAATAAGAAGTGGAATATCATTTTTTTCCACAAGTTATATGATTATAATTATTGAAGGTCATGATCATTTCATGAATAAAAATGGAGGTTTCTTAGGATGAACAGACACATTAGGGTCAAAATTCTCTCTGAAACAAGTAATATTGGCTTTACACGGTTTCCTTATACTGGCTCCAATAAAACATACCTACCTTAGAATTTTCTTCTGCACATGTGACTCTACAAGTGCACACGTGACTCTACAAGTGCACCCGCGATTCTACAGGTGCACCCGTGACTCTACAAGTGCGCAATAAACTATCCAAGGGATAGACTTACCCAGCTAGGCTTAGTAGCCAGTATTATGGCCAAACACTCAGATGAAAGCCTATGGCAGACATTAAGTATGTGTCAAAACAGAGATTCACGTCAATAAATAGACCCTAGAAACGGATTTTGTAGGGGATAACTATCCTTGAAAAAGCTGATCTACGTCTTGGACTATATCTACGCCGTACCTAAATTCGACGATTCTAGTCTTACTTAAAAAGTAGCCTGTTAGAGGCACACTACTAGACAGCAAATTCAAATGTTATAAGGCTCTCCAGCATCTTCGAATCAGCATTTATGCCATCAAATGGTTGTATCAGTAAGTCTGGATCATTTGAATATATGAAAAACAGTCCCAAGGCAATCGACGACACTGCGTTCCAGTGACTACCGGACACTTCGACCTGTTGTCAGTGTTGTCATGGATCGGAGGGATATATGATTCAAACCATGCCAAAACAGTGCATTGAAACCCATAACATTTAGGTTTAGAAATTAATGTCTCCAGGTAGGTACACTTTTTGTTTAGAAATTTGTAAACATCATCTAAGAACTTGAAAATGTCATCATGGGTTCTTTCGTGGAAACCACACTGATTGACGCTAATTGTTGTTCGTTGGTGTACTTCCAGGATGCTATCCTGGAATCTCTCGACCGGCTGTCCCAGTGAAGTTGTGATTCACTCAGTGTGATGACTATCTTGTCTTTAAGTCTATTTCTGAAGTTGTCAGTAGCGTTCGGGTATTTTCTTTTCGTAAATATATTGTAGAGAGAAGAAGGGAGAGAGCTATATCTAAAACACACAGGCCTTCGTTGCAAGACAGAGTAGAAAGATATAACGTAGAGAACAGGAAAAATAGAGCTACAGCTTGTATATATATCTAATACACAGTTCCGGCTATCCGCGTTTCCCTTTTGTGCGGTCCTTCGTCTTTACCCACCGCTCGTGCGTAAGTTCAAAGTATCAGTTGTTTGAAGGGGGAATAATTTAGGAAGCATTGTACAAGCAAGAAAAAGAGCCACGTATTCATTGAATACTAGGCATTAGAAGAGAATAGAGAGTGTGACGCGCATACGCGTGGTACAACTCTGATGCCACGGGAGTGGAGCAAGCAGTGGCGTAGCCAGGATTTTGTCTTGGGGGGGGGGGCAAATTTGCAGGAAGCGTCTTTTGCGGCCCTACCGCGACCGCTGCCGGAGGCTTATCGCCGCAGGCGCGAAATTTTTGGGTGCCACGCCCCTTTTTCAGGTTTCTTTACGCTATTTTTGGGACTGTTTATCTTAATTTTGAAGAAATATTCATAAAATGTAAGGGTCTTGGGGGGGGCAAATGCCCCCTTGCCCCCCCCCTGGCTACGCCAGTGGGAGCAAGGGAGAAAGCGAGGTATACACTCAATACGAAGCAATAGAAGATAGATAGATTTTTGCGCATGTGCGCGGTAAACATATACGCATCAGACGTTGGGTTGTGTAGATTTATCATTGTGTTTTGTGAATATTTTCGTTATTCACCTGAGATTTTTGAAGTGATACTTCTTAGGCGGCGGGCTGATATTTGGGACGAGAATTAGAGACAGTGAAATTTTAAGGAGGCGTCATGTTTTGGCGAATTTCGTTACTCGGGAAAGAAGAAAGATATAGCGTTGAGAGACGGAGAAAAACAGCCATATTTGGGGTGTGACGATACTTGACAATGACCGACAAACGATTGACACAAACCAAGGATTATGAACAAAGACAATTGCTTATTATTGTCAGGTGCCTATACCCTTGTGACGTCACTACGGATGCGCGTCTCCCTTTTGTGTGGTCCTTTAGTCTTTGCCCCGACTCATACACTAAATAAGTTTAAAAGTTGTGCAGTAAACACAAGAAGCAGAAGCCCGCTTTGTAAGCGGCCCGGATACGTATTGCCGAATTCGCATGTTCGGCCCGAAATACCGGCTCGGCGTATAGGTAGGGCATGTCCGCTAGGCCGTCTGTCGGGAACGCATGTGGCTATGGTTATACGCGTGGAGGGCACGGCGTTCGGCCCAAGAGCGGATTTTGGTACCGGTATGGAATAAGCTGATCTACCGCTTACGTTCGGCTTTCAGAAGACATTCGGCTCTCTGTAAAACGGTCTGAATGATTCGGACCACATACGTTCAGAAAGTGGCAAAATTAGCCGCCAGTGGCGAGATATGGCCGAATGTTTGCCAATTATGTTCGGCTTACTGGGTGAATGAGGGGGGGAGGAATAGTTTCCAAGAAGTTCCACTTCCAAACACGTGTACCATGCTGCACATGTTTTTTTTTTATAATTGTAATTTTTTTATACACGTTATAGATACATGTACGACTGTTTACAGCAAAAATGTATAGAACAAATGCAGAGCAATGGCCGAGGCATTGCCCAGAATTTGTAGAATTCAGAGAACCATTCCTCAAAGAACAATTTTCTGAGCGTCCCTGGCAGAAATTAGGTAAAGATCTGTTTAATTGTGATGATATTTGGTGTCCTATTTTTACCGACTATGTTTCAAGATATCATCAGCAGCAGAATTAAAAGCATCTATTTAGTAGATATGGGATTCCAGAACAGATTCGTTATAACAATGAGCCTCATCATTGCAGTCTGCATTCAGTGATTCAGAGAAGTTGTCATAAAAAATGATTTTTTCTCCAAACGTCAAAAAATCGTCACTTTGTCAGCACCTGTCAAGATGTTAGAAATTTAATTTCTATGCTGGTAGGCAAATTCAGCGGGTTAATACCTGTCGAGGTGGTAGAAATTTAATTTCTATGCTGCTAGGCAACCGCATCGGCAGTAGAAGTACTTTTAGTGCCGCTAGAGCGGCAGCAAAAGTACTTTTAGTGCCGCTCGTACTTTTACTGCCGCTTAACCATTCAGTTAAATACCCCGGAGCTTACCCCATTCGTTTGGAGAAAAAATAGCGTGTTGCATACGGAGTAGAAGCACTTTTTTGTGCTTCAGCAGTATTGCAAGCCTCACTACGTTCGGCTCGCAAACCTACTGCTTCAGCACAAAAAAGTGAAGCTTCTACTCCTAATACAACAATATACTATTTGTTTAATTAGGTGGGTACTTAGTAGTCCCCACAAAGATACAAGCAAGAACTTTCCGAAAGAACAACAAACACAGAAGCTTCAAGTGCTGAGGAACATTGGAATTAACTTAAATCTAGAATGCTTGAAACCTCAACGCGAATAATAGGCAAGGAAAAAGAGACGGAAAAGGGCGGACTGGTTTGATGAAGAGTGCAGAAGGGCCATATACGATCGGAACAAAGTTCAGAAAGGATCACGTCGAGAGAAGAACAAGAGGAAGAACAAGAGAAAGAAAATGCAAGAACATGCCGCAAAAAAAAAAAGATCTGAAAACGAGAACACGCAACGTTTGGAACATGATTTTGAAAACAATCATCTAAGGGCGGCTTATAAAGATCTACGTTGTTTGAGAGGATACAAACCACGCACAACCCTTCAGATAGTTCGCGACTGTTCTCAAAAATAAAAATAAATCTATCAATTCCATCTAGGTACCGTTTAAAGGCTGTTGTGTTGCTTCCTTTGGAAGCATTTTAGGGCAGATATCGAACCTTATTTTTTAAATTTTCATGTAGTATCACCCCAACCCATAGATTGTATCACACTATGAGGTCCGATATACAATTTTTTTCTACCGTATATTTATATATGTCAAATTAACACAGAGTTTATTGTGAATAAAGTTTTATTCACACAAACCGGCCCTTAATAACAAATCTATATTTAGTGTACCTAAATTAAATTGAATTTGGTACCTATTAAAAAGGTAGGTATGTATATTCAAATAATTTAAATTACCCGTTGTTTCTCAATAGGTAATAAAATTTTATTCGACTATATTTCCGGCAATTGTTCATTAAACGTTGAGGTTTAGTTAATTAAAAACAATTCTAGGAATCGCCGATAAGCTCGAACGTGTCAGATTTGAGTTTACGCCATCGCAGGTATCAAGTTGCTTTTGTGGTTTATGAATTTCGCAATAAGACGCAGCTTCAATTAAAAAACTATAAACTATTTTAGTATAACTTAAAATAGGTTTGGTACTAAAGAAAAGAAATGTTTCACGTAAATTGTTTGATAGATAAATAAATATAACTATGAATTCATATCTTCAAAGTGAAATTTTCAATTGGATAAATTCAAGCCATAATACAGCAAATAGCAAACGAAATTCATTAATTCAGTCAAATTAAAAAAAAAAAGCCCTAAGGCCACTTTTTTATTGCCAAAAGCGCTTTCTTGTCCCATTTGAACATTGTAACGCTAAGAAACATGTTTTGATAGAATTTGTGTACATTCCTGAGAAACTGGCGAACCAGTATTTGGGATTCTGATAGGCAATACTGATTACTGATAGGTGAATAAAAATACAGGTGTGAAGTTGGCAGTAAAAAGTTAGCAGTAGATTTTCCGAAGTTTGGCATTCGTCCAGTGGTGTCAGAAGTATCGTTTGGGGTTTGGCAGTGAAAAGTTAGATTTTATAAAGATTGCCTTGCATAATACCAATAGGTACTCAATTATCCATGTTTATCAGATTATTTCCGGTAAATATGTCATCTCCTTGCAAGTCATCAACGGGTGAAATATACAGGTTGAAAGGGAAAAAAAAACAGTTTTAGCCAGAATTGTCCAAGTTGATAATTAGGTATTTACAGAAAATCTGAACATAGTGTCACTTTGAATTTTGGATATATTGTTCTCCATTAATAGCACTTAGTTCCTGTAATTACCTTATTTCGTCTCAAGCCGTCAAAGGGTGGAATATAGGGGTTGAAAGGGAAAAAAAAAACAAATTATAGCCAAAATCTTCAAAGTTAATAATTATTTACAGAAAATCTAAACATTAGTGTCACTTTGAATTTTGGATGTATTGTTCTCCATGAATAGCACTTACTTCCTGTTATTACCATGTTTCTTCGCAAGCCGTCAAAGGGTGGGATATAGAGGTTGAAAGGAAACAGAAACCAAATTTCAGCCAGAATTGTCAAATAGTTAATAATTATTTACAGAAGATCTAAACATAGTGCCACTTCGAATTTTGGATATATTGTTTTCCATGAATAGCACTTACTTCCTGTAATACTACCTTATTTCCTTGCAAGCCGTCAAAGGGTGGAAAATAGGGGTTGAAGCGAAACAAATACCAAATTATAGCCAGAATCGTCAAAGTTAATAATTATTTACAGAAAATCTAAACATTGTGTCACTTTGAGTTTTGGATATATTGTTCCCCATGAATAGCAATTACTTCCTGTTATTACCTTGTTTCCTCGCATGCCGTCGAAGGTTGGAATATAGGGGTTGAAAGGAAATAAAAACCAAATTTGAGCCAGAATCGTCAAAGTTAATAGGTAATTGTTTACAGAAAATCTACACATATAGTGTCGCTTTGAATTTTGGATATTGTCCATGCGAATAGCACTTACTCCCCTGTAATTAGTTTAGTTCCTCGAAAGCCGTCAAAGGGTGAAATAGGGGTTAAAAGGAAACAAAAACCAAATTTTAGCCAGAACCGTCAAAGCTAATAATTATTTACAGAAAATCTAAACATAGTGTCACTTTGAATTTTGGATATATTGTTGTCCGTGAATAGCACTTACTCCCTGTATTTACTTTATTTTCTTGCAAGCCGTCAAAGGATGGAATATAGGGGTTGAAAGGAAACATAAACCAAATTTTAGCCAGAATCGTCAAAGTTAATAGGTAATTATTTAGGAGAGTACAGAAAATCTAAACATAGTGTCACTTTGAATTTTAGATATATTGTTTTTCATGAATAGCAATTTCTCCCTGTAATTAACTCATTTCCCTGTTGACGACTTGCAAGGAGATGACATAATTACTGGAAGTAATTTGGTAAACATGGATAAATGAGTATTATTGGTATTATATCATATACTAGCGGATACCCGGCGTGTGCTACTTTGCTAAAAAAATAAGTACACTTTGTTTATTTGTTGAAAAAAGCAAATTTTTAAAGATGGGGGTAGTCCTGACAACCTGCCCACCTCTCCATCTGTCACATTTGACAGTTGACATGTGTCAATTTTTTTCAACGTCTTATGGCGTTGCCGATTCTGAACACCGGGCAGGCATATGACCTTTTGTCATATTTTGACAGCTAACATCTGTCAAAAACTACATTTGACAGGTGTTGAGTATTTCAAATTGTATTATCACCCAAACTTAAAGTGTATGCAAAATTTCAGCAAAGTCCGTTGCAAAGAAATGATTCAAAAATCTGCACCTGTCACAATTTGACAGTTGACACCTGTCATTAGTAATCTAAAATTTATTATCATCCGAACTTAAAGCGTATGCAAAATTTCAGTAAAATTCGTTGCGAAGAAATGGTTCAAAAATCTGCACCTGTCACAATTTGAAAGTTGACACCTGTCATTAGAGGTCTAAAACCTTCTTCTCATTATTGCCTTTCATATTAAACTGGTTTGGGGCACAAATATCGGTCGGATGGTTCCAAAGTCTATAACTGACATACATACAAAGAAACATTTTTTGTGTTTTAATACATATAATATATGTATATTATAGATTATTGTTTACTTTTTGAAAAAGAAATCACAGGAATATCGGCGAAACAGTCCATATTAACGTCAACTATCAATATGTCGTCAAACTTTCAAGGTTTTTTTGCTTCATCATCAGAATCCTTCAATATTATTAATAAAATAATATTAATAATAATATATAAAAATTCATTACTACGGCCGTTAAACTTCTCAACAGATTATTGCTTACTTCATATACCTAATGTTAGACAATCTTTAAAAAATCTACTGCTAGCTTTTTACTGCCAAACCCCAAACGATGCTTCCGACGCCACTGGACATTCAGCAATCTTCGGAAAATCTACTGCTGACTTTTTACTCCCAACTTCACACCAGTACCTTGTCGAGGGTCACCTGGCGTCAGGAGTCGAGTCGAAATCGACGAAATCCTGTATAGACTTGATGGCGGCTTTTTCAACCTAAATAAATTAGAAGCCAAAGGCGAAAGTACCGATGACATCAATAACTAAACTTCAATATGCGGATGAAAACGTCGTGCTTTCATGCATTCAACCAGGCATACAGGAGAATCGGCCTAGAGGTCAACTTTAACAAGAAGCAGATTCTGCACCAGCCCACACCGAAGACTATTCCCCAAGCCCCAAATATAACTATAAATCACCATTCTTTGCAGAATGTAGAATACCAGCCATACCTTGGGAGCCATCTGCCAGCGCACGGAACCATTGACGCTGAAATCCAACATCGCTTGAAGTATGCTAGCACGGCGTTTGAGCGACTTCTAGAGAGAGTATTCAACAATCACGGCATCAGCGCTGCGACCAAACTTCGCGTCTACAATGCGGTTGTAATACCAACACTAATATGGCTGCAAAACATGAACCACCTACAGAAGACACATAAAAAACCTAGAAAAATACCACCAGCGATGCCTAAGAAGGATCCTATGAATTAAATGGCAAAACCGACGAACCAACATTAGTTTTTTAGAGAAGGCCGAAACCACTAGCATGGAAGCCCTTATACCAACTTCGTTGACAGGTCATTTTGTCCGCATGCCCGAAGCACGTCTTCGGGAAATCAGGAAGGTCAACATAGCGCTACAAGGATGTTCTTAGGAAGAATATGGTAGAGTGCCGCATCTATTCCAGCAACTGGGAGACGACGGCAAATTATAGGCCCTCATGGCGTGGTCGAGTAGTCCACGATAGACCACAAACTTTTGAAAAATAGCCACGCAGACACGAGACTGAAAAGAGGGAGCGCAGGAAGGAGCCAGAAAACTGAGGAAGAGACAATGCTGCTAGAAGCTGGGTGTGCCAAGACTGTGGAAGAGTGTGTGGCTCCAGAATTGGTTTATATAACCAACCGCACAATCGACGATAATGAGAATACAATAGAGGATAATTATACTTGGTATCGAGTGATCATCTATCTATCTATAATGATGACCATTTTCAAGTGTTTGTTGACGACATCATCCACAGAATAGCCGCGCTGTTCCATAAGGTCTCACGGCTTTTCTTGCTTCTGCATACTCCATTAGCCTGTCAGCCCATCTCTGTCCTTATTTTCAATCCTGGAGTTTAAAAGCGGATACGATGCATTCTTGATTGCATCAGGCCAAATGCCATCTTTCGAAGATACCCGGCCGTGTATGGTGTTAACAACTTTCTCCTGTAGCAACTTGCTTTCGATATGCCAGGAGTACGCATAAGATATAAGTCAAAAGTGGCGTCATTCCCGATTTTTCTGGATTGTGGGGTAGAGTTCCACTACATTGACTCTTTTGAATGACTGCGATAAACATATGCAACCAAAACAAAAATTATAAATATCAAGAACTTTGGTATTAGGGCCCAACTGTGTTTTTTGCACCGATTATCAAATTTCATTTTTAATAGGTTGAGTGCCACCGTCTAGTATACTGGACAGAAGGGTTTCTTGTCAGGGCCCGCGTGCAGTTTGCCCGCGTCCGCAGTAAACTGGACGCTACTAAATAGCATCTAAATTAGCTGTTAAAAATGCGGGATATGTCAATAACTTGTTTTTCATGCAGCGGACCACAACAGAAGTTTAAAATTTCATTTTGTGTTTGATTTTATCATTTCTTGATTATGTTCAGTATTTATTGAAATATCCTTTCGTTTTTATTATTTTTGAAAACTTTGTTTTCGTTATATTTTGTCTTTTCTATATTATATTCAGTGTCTATTGGAATATCCTTGAGTTTTTAATATTTTCAGAAACACTCTCTTCGTTATTGACAATAACTATTCATGTTAATTGATATATGAATGCGTCCAGTATACGGGACTGGTGGGATATTTTATTTACGATTATTAAAATATCCCGACGTCCAGTAAAATCGAAATTCACTTACAGCTGTCAAATTGACAGATATCTTGCATTGGATGTCTTATCAATGTATCTGTATAATAAATGAATTTGAAATACTATTATTTGCTTTCGGGCTCAGGGAGAAGTTCATTCAATTTACCGTGGTAGGTACTCAACCTGTTAAAAGGCAAACATACCCTGCTAATATTAATCACCAGAGGGATTTCTCCAAGATGCGATTTATTCCTGCAAAGATCTATTGTTTGCCCCGCTGTCAAACAAAATTTTAAATACAGTTACCTGCTGCAATTTTTAAATGCTTTGTTAAAATATTACCGTTGAAAACGAAAGTCCTCAAACATTATATGACATTATAAGATACCTGTACTATAACATAATAGGTGGCGGTAATGTCACCAAAAAGAGTTTTACAACAACGCATACACGTTTGGCGCGGACAACGTTTAAACTTTCCTACCCAATGAAACGAATTCAGTTATGAAATATTAATGCACGCAGGTTTTCCAATCAGTTTTTGCGGAACCTTTACCAACAACGGTACCTATTCATTAACAATCTACCTGATTTACCTATTAATTATTTTGCGCTCTACTGTTGTGTTTACGCTCGTGTTTAGTGATCTTATTCTTCCGCAATAATGGATAACTTCTCGAATTATTCTGATGAAGGGCAAACCGAGGGGCAAACGTTTGCTGATTTTGGTAAGTGAAAGTTTATTAAGCCACAAAAATAGACATTGTTTTTTTTTTAAAAAATATATATTATTTCAAAAAAAATTAATCTTTTCTATCAAAAAGCGCATTCATTTTTCGAAAGTTTCAAATTAAATCAGCATTTCGGTTCAACTTAATTGTCTTTTTCACAAAATCGAAAAGGGCGTTTTGTTGCTTCTATTTTTTTCATGACAGTGTGTTCTTAATGTGAAACAAAGTTGGTACTATACTCGAAACAAAGTTGGTACTATACTTTACAACCCTTGTTGTAGGGGTGGTGTCAAAGTTGAAATGTTAAATTCCGAATTAGGTCGGCTTGAGTAATATAACCATCTTACAAATTTCTACCCCGATTGCAACGGCTGGAATTATACAGACAAGATACAAATTGCAAAATTACTAAAAGTACATTGTACAGGGTGTCCAACATTCGATGGTTTTGGGGGGTTTCGAGTATTTCTAAGGGAGTTGGAAAAGATCTGACCCCCACTTGCGAGCCTCGATTTTCAAGAGAAATTGACTAGTGAAAACCGCATCTCGACATGTCGAGTCGTTTTTGAAAAGTTTGGAGTTTGGCAGGGGGTCTATAACTTTTTTATTAATGAAAATTTAGTCAACTTTTCCCCTTTTAGCTTAAAAATGCATCGAGATATCGAGATGCGGGTTTCACCAGTCAATTTCTCTTGAAAATCGATGCTCGCAAGTGGGGGTCAGATTTTTTCCAACTGCTCTAGAAATTCGGGTATTTCCTGCCAAAACCATCGAATATCGAATCTTGGACACCCTGTACAGGCTGGGCCAATTTGGGGAACATAAATTTTTGTGAGCGAACAAAAAAAAAAAGATGAAACTGCCTATTCACTCTGAGGCTGAAATTTGGGGGAAACCCTATGCAAGGTGGGTCAATTTGAACACTCTAATGGCATAAACCGCATTTTGATCGATTCGAGCCTCAGAGTGGGGTGTATTATATCGCTCAGAAATTGAACTTTAAGTTGTGCCAAATTGGCCCACCTTGTACATGGTTTTTTAGTATAAATGATGATCATCTACCTACAGGAGTTATTTGAAAAGTTATCAAAACTAAATTTACTATTGAATGCATTTTATTTGTCCAGGTGGTGTGTCGCAAATAAATAACATTTACTGTGACAATAAGGCTTTTTCCGATAACTAAAACCATTGTTTAAGCTGAGATATTTTGTTTTCTCAATGTATTGTTTAGTTCCACGATTTTGATTGCCGGTTTTGATGGCCAACCCATGTCACAAAGATAAAGAAGAAAAAAAAAACGAAATTGACCAGTTCACTCATATCACGATTCAACCCAGACAGCACAGAGACATCTTGAAGACGCTCTTAAGATGTCCCTTAACGACATTCAAGACGTCTGCTTACGTCTTCAAGGCGTCTAAAAGTCAACTTGAAGACGTCATATGTTACAAAACCCAACGTCTTTTAGACGTCTGCCTAAAGACGTCTTCAGAACTAATATTTCATTATTATTATTCATTTTATGACTTTCAATTTTTGTCTGCTCCAAACGCCTCTTGAATTTTTGATTTCTTTTAAACGAAAACATACACAAAATTCATTTTGGTAGAAAAACATTAGAAGAGCCAGGAGTAAAAATTAAAAAACAAATCAAGAGCCTGAAATTCTAAAATACGGGAATAATAAGAATTCAAGAACTTGAAATTGAAAAATTCAAGAGCGAAAAGAGAGTTAAGAATTTAGGATAAAGAAATAAGGAAAAATCAAGAGCTTGGAATTGGAAAAATTACAAAAATTCAAGAATTTGAATTGAAAGAGAAACGTTTTCTTGGTAATATTTAGAACAGTAAATTTTTGTCTATTCCAGGCGCTAGGCTCTCTGAAATAATTCTGAAGTTTTAAATTGTTCTAAAGACTTTCAAAATACTGCTGGAAAGTGTTTTGAAACATTCTAAATGGCTTATTGAAGTTCTTCAGTGTTCTTACTCAGCTTGGGTTGGTTTGGCGGTAATTTCTAAATTGTTCTGACAGATTTAGATTATTAAAAGAGTTCCAAAAGGTTTCTAGTTCTAAATTAAATCCTAATTGTTCTGAAATAACTCTGAAGCTTCTAAATTGTTCCAAAATGCTCTTGAAAATTCTGATTTGGATTTGATAGCGCTTTTCAAAATGGTTCTGGAGATTCTAGAGTGTTTGAGTGTTTTGGAGCATCCTAAAATGTGTTTCAAACTTCTGAATTGTTCTAATAAATCGGTTTTTGAATGTTTTGGAGCATTCTGAAATGATCCTGAGGTTTCCAAATTATTCTGAAGCGCTACAGAATACTTTTGGAACTTCTGAATTGAATTTTAGGTATTTTGAACTTTCCAAAAGGTTTATTAAAGTTCTAAAGTGCTTTGTGCATTTTAAATGGCTCGCAGTAACATTATAAATTGGATGAGAAACGAATTATGTGGGAAGTTTTTGTAGACATCTTAGAAACGTCCCTGAGATGTCCACAAACGGCATTCAAGACGTTTGCTTACATGTTCAAGGTATCCTTATAGACATCTTCCAAAGACGTCGTATGTTACAAAGCCCAACGTCTTTCAAACTGCGTAAAAACGTCTTTTTGACAATTTTTTTCCAAGATATTCCAAAGACTTCTTAGGGGTCTTTGAATCTCTTTTTAATACATAAACCATCATTCACTTTTATGTCCGGTTGTACCAAATAGTGTGGCTCAGTTGTCTTAAAGATGTGAATTTACGACATCTAGATTTTTTTTTGTCTTCAGATGCAGACCTAAAAAAGACTTTTTGGGCTGTCTGGGAAATCTCACCCCCTAGATACTGTTTATTTAGATCCTCTAAAAATGTTTTGGTGCTCGAATATGCAGAGTGTGTATTCAAGACGTGGAACTAATGTGCAAATGACCCAAATGCTGCTATCCGATTTTTTCCTGCTTCAATCATTGCGACCCTGTAATAAATTGATTTCTGAAAACACTGGCATTGATTTTCTGCTTCGTTTATCATAGAGGTTACCCCATTATTCTTTCGATTGATTATTGCTTTTCTTCGATACCCAGCTGCAGCATTTCTAGTTCATCCTGAGTATCGAACTACATTGTAAAGTTCACTTTTGGCCTATAAAAATAGTCTATAATACTGTGATACCTAGAGACCTTGGATGACAACTGATCGGTCGAAGACTTTCACAATCTGAGGATCAGCATTTTGGCCGATGTTATTTGACTAGGTTTTTGTAAAAATATATTTTTGTTATTGTGTTTTTGATTTAACACTAAGTAATTCGAAAACAAGCGTCATTTATTGTAGGAACTTAAAATTTTGTTATGAAAACTTGACAAAAAAAAATCTAGGGCAACATCGACCTCCCCTCCCAGTATTATTTTTGACACATAAGAAAAAATCCTCTTGGTAATACCTGCTCAACTGGTCAAAAATCCTAGGGTTTATAGAGGAACCATAGAGAAGTAGTTTGAGATAGGACACCGATGGGGAAGTGCGTCGTTTCCAAAATATAGGGTGTTGAAATTAAAAAAACCCGTTTCATATCATCTGAAGGGCTAATGCTAGGCTGTTCAAATTTTCAGGAATTATTGATGTAGGAATAATGTTTAAAAATTCGTATAATGCACTCCCATATTCTACCTAGAACCACCCCAAAAATAATAATAATAATTTGTTTTATTTTATTTATTTTTTTTGGGTGGTTTCAGGTAGAAAATGAGGGTGCATTACGAATTTTTAAATATCATTCCTAAATCAATAATCCCTGAACATTTGAACATCAGCCTAGCATTATCCCTCCAGATGATATTAAAGGGGGTTGTTTCAATTTCAACACCCTGTATTTTGGAAACGACGCACTTCCGACCATCGGTGTCTTTTCTCAAACTACTTCTCTATGGTTCCTCTATATACCCTAGCATTTTTGACCAGTTGAACGGGGACACCCTGTATAATAACTTAGCAACTGGCTTATGATATGAACAAGATACTTATGATTAAAAAAATATTTGATAGGGGGCGTACCATGCATATTATTATTCTAAGAAGCAATTAAATAGAATAATTGCTTCAAATCAAACTTATTTTGGGATGATTTTTTTTGTGCCTTGAGGCTGCAACGAAAATTCCTAAACCGATCACACGTTTTAATGTCGAGCCGAATTCCATAGTAATTGCAAATTACATAAACGTCGGCGTACCATGGTACCATGAGATACCTCACCAAACGGAAATTGTAAGCGGGTATGCCTGCGAAAGTATACCATCTATTTATACCTCGCTTCAAGGAGAAACAAAAATCATCTCAGATATAGGATGTACCTATACTTCATATTTTACAGAGTGTTGCAGAATCGGGTCAGTGTCCGACTTTTTTCATAAATAAATGTCAATGGAAAAAATCCTTGCATTATTTATGAAAATAATTTCATAATTCTCGACGAAAACTTTTCTCCTGCAAGTAACAACTATGGGTAATTACTACTACTGACCTTGATTTTAAAACAATAACAAAATAATTTTTATATTTTAATGACCTGTTAAATTTTTATGTGCCCGTTTAAAGCACAATTTGGCGCTATCAATAAAAAATTTGCGGTTTCTGACGTAATGTAAATAATAATTTTGAACTTGATTAGCGAATTTCAATGAAGGAAAGTCAAGGTGTTCGGTTAGTAGTTTCATCATATACTGAAGAATCTGAAGGTTTTTGGAATATGTCGGGCTTAATTTTCCATAGTTGTACCTGACTGTGGTGAATTTATGCTATTTTGAAGCAATTTAACACGAATATTTCAATATTAGGTAAATTATCAAAACGTTTTTGATGTGTGCCAAATGCAAAGTCAGTTCCGGTTCAGCATATTCCTAAGCTTGAATTTGTGAACGTGGGCAAAGCTTATAGGAAACGAAACATGATTTCTCAAAAGCTTGACTAACAAATAAGGGTTTTCCTTCCTCCTTCAAAAATAAATTATCAATGTGAAAAATATAAAAAGTTTCAACAACAGATATTTTTTCTATCCAGAGAGACAACACACTGACTCACTCTAACAGAATGCAGATAGCATTCTATTATCTTAATTTTCAAATTAATCATGCAATGGTCCATTTTATCGCCCAGTTTACAATGCAAAGTGATTTATTTACTAATTACATTTTTGTAATAATGACTAACAATTCTTTGAATCACTCGCCTACGGAAACTAAAAATAAACAGTCAACTCCGATAATCGAGTAATTGTTGGAAAAAAAAGAACCTTTTAAAACCGTTTAGGTAACTTCTGAAAGTACTGTCTCCTTTTCTAAAAGTTATTGTATCATCAGCATTGGTATTTCCTCCTCGATAATACATTAGTTTAGTTATACACTAAACTGAGGGCCTTTTCTACTGTAATTCCTTTCATGTTTGACATTTCTGCGGTAGGTACCTAAACGAAATTTTTTCTGGGGCTTTTTTATAAGTACTTATACTTGTGTTTCCGCTCTTATAATTTCTGTTAATCCCTTCAAGATTTATGAGTTTTGCCCTATGAGAGTTTTGTATTGCCTCTAGTAATGCCGCATTCGTCTAAAATCGTATCTTCATCCCTGCTTTCGATTTTAAGCTGTGTTTTCTTTTCTCTTCACATGTCGTATCATAGTAAATATTTTTATATCTGAGTTATCTTCTGAGTATACCTTTTTGTATCTGTAAGTTTGGGAGGGTGATATGCCACAGCACTTAGGCTGCAGCAGGCCCATTGCCTAGCGATTTAATGTCTCTGATCTCTTCCAGGGATGGGTAAGATTGGCCTAATCTGGCTCTGCGTATTGGCGAAAGATACAAGCACAGTTCCTTGGATAAGTTACAGTCAACCGTATCGTCCCAGCGCTTTTTGAAAAGGGTGTGGGGTCGTTCTTTAATCATGTCTTTGGTCGCCGACATGGACAGCTCCACGAAGGGCTCCGGTCGATAAAGGTGTAGCCTAGCTGCCCTTCTAGCTCGAGCATCGGCAGCCCGATTGCCTTTGCTGTGATCATGTCTTTTGATTCAGTTGACTACCACCGTACCGTGTGGATACGGTGGCAATGTTGTACTAGTTCTGACGTGAGTCGTGGTCTAGATAGGGCTAGTACTGCTTGTCTGAAGTCCGTGTGGATGTGCACGATTTTGTCAGTGATATTGTTGCTGATTATCTGTTTTGCAGCGATGGTTATGCCAGTAATTTCCGTTTGGACGACATTTGGCATGGAGCCGGGATCTCTAGTTAGGTTCAGTTTGAGAACTTTGGACTGGAGTATACCTACTTCTCATCCCAAGTCTGTTTCAGTTTTGGATCAGGCAGTACAGATGTTACTTATCTCTGCCACTGTGTTGTTTCGTGTTGATTGCGTAGTGCTTTTTGGAGACGAAATATGGCGTTGCAGAGTCCACTCTGGCTTCAATTCCGTTGCCTCGCGCCATATGCGGGACGCTGTCCAGAGGGACAGCGTCTTCTGTATTTAGTTCAATGGTGCAGAAGCGCATCATTCAGGTCAAAGCGACCTCCTTGACATAAATGTCAGGGGCGTCAAACATAGAATTACCTCCAAAGCCTTAGCGGCTTTGATTACACCAGTTATGTTGAGGCATGTCATTCTTTGAACGTGATCTAGTTCTCGGCTAATGGTGGTCTGCTCGGCTTTATGACCCCATACAATAGCCCCATAGGTAAACATAGGCCTGATGATGACTGTATAGATCCACCTAACTACCTTGGGGGAGAACCCCCAGATCTTACCGATGGTAGGTACGTCTATACACTGTTCATAGGCAATATGCTTTCTGTATTCTTTATGTGATATGAGAGTTCCAAGAAGCTGGTTGACAATCGAGTGTCAGTCCCAGATATTTTACCTCGGCAGCAGAGCTTAGTTTGATATTTAGGAGCCTGGAAGATGGTGGAAATAAGTACCAGTTTCCTCTTTCTTGTGAATAGGACCATTCCAGTCTCTGGGATTGATGGAAGAGCATCTTGAATGCCTTCGCAGAGTGAGTTTTCGTTTTTTTCTCTTCGCAAGATGAATAATGAGGTTGTCCAGAACCACGTTTCACAGCAGAGATGATAGCCCTCCTCTCTGCGAGCAGCCTTTTGTGACCATTCCTTTGATGTTGAAGTCCTGCACACTGATCTGTACGATTCTTTTGGAAAGTATATCTAATATTCATCCGGTAACAAATTCCGGAGTATTCCTTTCTGTTAGCGAGTGGCTTTGTCAAATATCCCTTCAATGTCGATGGTGGACTCTACCTTTTCGTAATAAACTGGGAATCGTAAAACTTTACCTCTACCTTTTTGTATTAAACTGGGAATCGTAGAACGTAAAAATAAATTCATCTATCCGATCGAAATTTTCGCAAAATTAGGTACACTAATAGTAAATTATGACGTTTGACGTGCTGCAATCGTTAAACTTAACAACTTATTGCCTTAAGAACATTTCGAAATTTTTGCTTAGGGTCAATAATAATTCTTGCTGCATTTTTAGTTTATTTCTGTATATTGGAAAATGCTTGTATTTGAAGTTTTGAATATTTTTTCTTCTTTTCCAGTTAATGAAACCACAACTGCGGCTAATATGTCACTGGGAGAAGTGATTGAGGCGGAATCCCACCAAGTTATGACAGTCGTCCTTTTTGTGATTTCAGCAGTCATGTTTATTGTACTGATATTTATATCAGCTGTATTCATGGACTGCAGACAACAGTAAGTTTTTTTTTTAATTTCTAGCTAGCTATGATAATGATGCGTCATGAAATATGTAGAAGGAAAAAAATCGACGTAATTGTTGATGACGGTCATTAAAATTTTGTCGCAAACATACAAAATCCAACTATATTTCAAGCAAGCTTAGATTATTGCAATGCATTAAAAGATTTTTTCATCGATTGGTCACGTTTTTGTTCTCTCATTATTATGACCGGACCCATTGAAAATGTTTTGACTTTGTTATCAATAATTACCTACTAATATGACGAATGAGTAATAGACTAGTGCCAGCAATAGCCAGAAATAGAAATCCTTCAAGCAGGTTAGTTCTAACTGAAGCTCAATAATTCAAGATCATAATTATCATTAATTTTATTGTCAAATAAGCTATAAGATACTTGAGTTTACAAACTACACAAATATGCAAACTGAACTAAGGCCAACAAAAAAGGCAGAGTTCGCATTGCACGAATATTCAAGTATTCGTGCATTCTAGAGATTACTCGATTGAATGGTTCTGTATGTAAAGCGATTTATTTGTTGTTTATATATTTGATGAGTTTATTTTCATTTATTTGCTTGAATTTTATTGCAAAATTTGAATTTGTCAAGAAAAAAACCCTATTATTGGCATCTATATTTTTAACAAAGACAACCCTTAACCCTTGACAAAATGCCCTGCCAACAAATACCCACCATTTCATATTCATTCAGATTTCCTAAATAAAAACTTCATTGAATAATTTCAACTTTTTCTTTTTAAGGAGAATTAATAATACGCAACCCAGACGCTTCCAACGAGCACGCCGCAGGTTCCACAGAACATTTCCATCCCTCCCTAAAATAGGAGATACGGCACGTAAGGGCGACGAAGATGCCATTGTCGAGAATATGGAACCAACTTCATCGACCGCCACAGTGGGAAAAATGGAGCCCTCAACATCAACTGCAGTTGAAATGGGGGAGCCATCATCAGTTTGAGATAAAATAACCAAAGCATATAAATATGCGAGCTAAAGCTCGTTATGCCATATTTAATCAAATTAGTGTTTTGAATAGCTAGATAATATTTTAGCCTCAATTTGAACAGGTACCCATTTTCAATTAGTTCTTATCAGTTTGAACTTTTAAATATTACTTAAATATGTATTTGGTTTATATAATATAAAGTGAAAAATAATAATGCATACAAAATAAAGCAGAGTTTTTTATTGGGTGCCAAATTGCACATTAATTAAGTTACCTACAGTATTATCAAGCTATTCTATTTAATCTCTCTTTGTAAATACGTTATATTATTTGTTTTATGTGATGTTTACTGTTCAGTATTTTAATTTTTATAAGTAATATAATTTTATCACTACAAATTTTAGTTTTGTTCACATATTCTAGACTTATCATCAACACCTACTTATACAGTGCCCGCGGAAAAGTCTGCACCATATGGGAAATTTTTTTATGCTCGCATCCTTACTTCAAATCAGTTTTCGGTATTTGGTTCTGCATGACTGAACCAAAAAAACACCTAAAATTTTTGACTCGAGACTTACCTCACACCTGTCAAATGCCATTTGAAAATTTCAAACAAGGAAAAGTGGCATTTTTATAAATAATATGAAAAAAATTTATAAGAAAATATTGTTCCAAATGACATTTTTAGTCTAATTTGATATTTTTACTTTGAAAAAAAAAGATTTTTTTTAAAAAAAAAATTCGAATATCTACGGAAAAATAATATTTTTAGGATTTCTTTCGCGACCATTCCTCTAAAATAATTAGTTTGTATCTGACTAATGGTTTTTCAAATCTTAATAATCTAATTAAGAGTTCAAACATCAAAAAGAAATATTTCTATTCAAATTTTGATATGCCTCTGGACTATTTTAGAAATTTTAGATTTCTCAAATTAAAATTTCAAATTGTTTGTTTATAAAATACTCCTAAATGTCATGTGGAACAATATTTTCTTATAAAAAATTTTCATATTTTTTATAAAAATGCCACTTTTCCTTATTTAAAATTTTCAAATGGCATTTGAGGCAAGACTCGAGTGAAAAATTTTAGGTATTTTTTTGGTTTTCAGTCATGCAGAACCTAATGCCGAAAACCGATTTGAAGTAAGGATGAGCAAAAAAAATTTCCCATATGGTGCAGACTTTTCCGCGGGCACTGTATATTAAAGAAAAATTTGTATGTGCTATTTTATTTAGTTTATTCGATGCAAAATGGAATGCCAAAGTATGCCTCACAATTTAAGCTCTCTACTTTCACACATCTCAATGTGACAAAATGGTTTATTTTAGATGATGAAGGAATTAAAGGAAATTGTTAATAAAAAAAATTAAGTACGATTCCCATTAGCAAAAATTATAATACACCAAAAAATTTTACTAATTAATCCTTCAAGTGAAGTGTTTGCGAACATTTGTTTTAACTCTTTCAGAGTAGAATGAAAATTCAGGCAAATTCCTGAACAATCGCAAATATAATCATATCCATGGATCGTTTGTCACCTGCTTTGGTGTCAAATTTGGAAACTAATTGTGTCCCATTGTTTTTTTTTTCTCAATTACTTCTTGTCGCATAGGGCGTGTTCTTTTTTCCACCAAAAGTTTATGTTGATTTCCACTAAAAATTTACTGTTGCATTAGCTGATTTCTGTCACGTGACTCTTTGATTGGTGGAAGCACCACATATCCACCGCAATTTACATAAAAGAACGCTTTGGTGGAGCAAAATCGAAAATATCCATATAAATGTTATAAATATCTGTGCTTCTGATTCAGAAAATTTGAAATGGACAATTCGAGCAAAGCTGCAATTATTGGGCTAAAAACATTAATTGCAAAGCGAAATAGAAGACTTCTCAGAGGATCTCAATTTCTTTTGCAGCCAGTTTTTTCACTGAATATGACAAATCATTGTAGATAAAAGTTACGTCATCAGCTTCCTGGTTCTCCATTTCTTATCTTATAGCTTCTAACAAATGAGCTAAAAAACAAATCAAAGACTACGCAGGTCACACAACAAGCAGTCAGTAGTTAACTTTTTTAAGGTTATGTGGTCTACCAACGCTAAACCACCAGAGTAATCACGGAAAATTTCTGTTGGAGCTTGGTTGCATCAGGTTTCCACCAGATGAAATCCACCATAAATCCACCAGTAAAATAAGAACGCGGTGTGGTGGCCCATCATATTTCCACCATCAATAAAAGAACGCTTTGGTGGCTTATTTTTGTAGGTAATCGCTGATTGACAGGTAAGGTTAAGTCAAAGTCAGCTGTGATGGCAGCATTGCCAGATTGTGATGAAAGTGCCTCACAAATTTTGATGTATACAAAACTCAGTAATTGAACATTACAGTAGGCCTTTTCGGAAACGCTGATCCGATTAACCGGTTCACCAGCTGATGTACTTTGTCTTTTTTCAATCGTGTTGGATAAATAAAAATAAAAAACAAACATGTGATCGGGTTAATCGGATTAGTGTTTCCGAAAAGGCCAGTTGTTTCCAGGGCACATTTCAGGCCACTTTATTTGACTTGCAAATGGCTCCAAGGGAGGTTTTTGGGAGTGAAACAGAAAAATTGAAAAACTACAAATATCAATTTTATACAGAATTACGCGTCGTGCGACATTTTCTTCACAACCGAATGTATTGGAAACTGTTTCCCAGGTAGCATGGGCACATTTCAGGCCACTTTACTTGACTTGCAAATGGCTCCAAGGGTGGTTTTTGAGGGTAAAGCAGGAAAATTGAAAACCTAGAAATATCAATTTTGCACAGAATTACGTGTCTTCAACCAAATGCATTGGAAAGTGTTCCCAAGTACCATGGGCACATTTCAAGCCACTTCGCTTGACTTGCAAATGGGTCCAAGGGTGGTTTTTGAAGGTAAAACAAAAAGTTGAAAAACTAGAAATAATCAATTTTTCACAGAATTACGTGTTCTGCGACATTTTCTCCACAACCAAATTTATTGGAAACTGTTTCCAGGTACCATGAACACATTTCAGGTCACTTCACTAGACTCGCAAATGGGTCCAAGGGTGATTTTGGGGGTAGAACAAAAAAAATTAAAAACCAAAAATTAACATTTTTCACAGAATTACGTATTTTGCGACATTTTCTTCACAATCAAATGTATTGGCAACTGTTCCCAAGTACCATGAGCACATTTCAGGCCACTTTACTTGACTTGCGAATGGCTCCAATGGTGGTTTTTGAGGGTAAAACAAAAAAATTGAATAACTAGAAATATCAATTTCTCACATCAGAAATACGTACGTATCGTGCGACATTTTCTTCACAACCGAATGTATTGGAAACTGTTTCCAGGTACCATGGGCACATTTCTGGCCACTTTACTCGACTTGCAAATGGCTCCAAGGGTGGTTTTTGAGGGTGAAGCAGGATAATTGAAAACCTAGAAATATCAATTTTGCACAGAATTACGTGTCTCCAACCAAATGTATTGGAAAGTGTTCCCAAGTACCATGGGCACATTTCAGGCCCCTTTACTTGACTTGCAAATGGGTCTAAGGGTGGTTTTTGGGGAAAAACAAAAAAAATTTAAAACCAGAAATGAAAACTTTTCACAGAATAATTACGTGTCTTGTGACATTTTCTTCAAAACCAAATGTATTGGAAACTGTTCCCAAGTACCATGGGCACATTTTAGGCCACTTTACTTGAGTTGCAAATGGGGCCAATGGAGGTTTTTGGGGGTAAAACAAAAAAAAAAATGAAAAACTATAAATATCAATTTTTCACAGAATTACGTGTCATGCGATATTTTCTTCACAAGCAAATGTATTGGAAACTGTTCCCAAGTACTATTGGGATATTTCAGGCCACTTTACTTGACTTGCAAATTGGTCCAAGAGTGGTTTTTGGGGGTAAAACAAAAAAAAAAAAAAAAAACTATAAGTATCAATTTTTCACAGAATTACCTACGTGTCTTGCGACGTTTTCTTCACAACCAAATGTATTGGAAACTGTGCCTAGACACCATAGACATATTTCAGGACATATTACTTGACTTCAGGGATGCTTTTCAGCACTAAGAAAATTGTACCAGAAAGTAGGGAATAATTGTACTAGATTGGCGATATTGTGTACTAACTGAAAGCGTGTCAAATTTTGAAATTTGAATACAAATGTAGGTTCTGCTAATTGGGGGTAAATATCCCTTGTTTGAATGATAGAAATAGATAAATTTCTACATATTTAGTTATAAATCGACTATACCGATTACCGTGATCGGCTGAATTACCGAATAACCCTCGATACATGATACACGTCACACGTCACACCAGAGCCGTAACTAGACCTGTTTGCGCCTGTGGCAGATTTTTAATTTGCGCCCCCGCCCCATAATGTCTCACAAATGCTAATTTTGTAATTTTCATATTTTAACAAGAAAAGTAGCTTATATGAAAATTCCTGTTCCATTTGACATTAATGAAATATTATCACCAAAGACAAGAAGAGGATCAGAAAAACTAAGAAACGTAGAATACACAGGAGCCTAAATTATCTTTTTTTTAGATATTGACCCTTTTGTCTAGATATTAACCCTGCAACTCCGTCGATAATTCGTCATAATTAAAAGTAAAGTAAGTGAAATCAGTTACTCGATTGGAAGTATAGCTATATTTCTTAATTTTTCCTGTGTCTTGTGTCCTAAAGTGGAACTAGAATATGACGTTGACTATACATATAAGCTTAAGTTTATCAAAGGAACGCTCACACGTACCAATAGTCAATGGAACGCTCAGAAATATTCTTTAAAGCAGTCTGTATGTTAGGATAAATATATCTTCAGGAGTAAAGTCATACATATTGTCCGTCATTTTTATCTGATACTTTCCGTATGAGAAGCGAGGAGGTGAAGCATCATATGGCAAAAACCGGTGTGAGCTCAGGTGACCATTGGCGTTCTAACGTAGGTAGTCACCAGCTCACATTCCTTTGGAGTATCAGATTAAAAACGACGGATTGTATTTTGCAACCATTTGGATAAAATTCTATTTCGTGTGTAGCTGTTTTTAAACCTCAAAGTCGTTTCCTCGACAGCATGACTACTGAGAAAACCAAAATCAGCTGTCACAGTATTATGAGCCACATTTCTATCCCCAATCTGTATTATAATTGCATGAATAAATTGCAAGAGTTCAATTTTCAAATGTGTTTTGAAATCGAAAGGATGAGCCTCGTCATTTGCTTCCTCACCAGGCATTTTTGGTTCCTTTTTTCTTCTGGGTTGTTCTGGTATAGTTTATACAAAGTCAATCCGAATAGCATAAAAACTGTGTTGGCGGCATCTTCTTGTGAAATTGGGCATACGCGTGTAACAGCCTAGGA